TGTCAGTGTTTTTATAACAGATCTTAGCAGCGGGGTCGGTTTGTGGAGACCGCCGTGCTTCTGCCATCTGTGCCACAGCGGCCGAGACGGACATCGCTGTTCTGTCTAATCGTGTATTAAGTATGTGGGTAGAGACTCATCCTGCACCTTCAGATTCAACATATGAAGGGTCACAAGAAGGAAAATGCAAAACGAAGAGACAATGCATGTACTTTTTGGGTTTTGGAGCTCCACGTGGTCTTTCAGGGAACTGCGGTTTTTGGCACTTTATGTCAAACGTATTTATTTGTTAAATAATAATAAAGAGGTTGCTGCTTTAAAGTAGATCTATTGGAAGTGTTAGAAAAAAGTGCAAAATAAAATTAAACAGATAACTAAATGAAAAATACGTAACTGCAAAAACTGCAAATTATGTTTAAATTAGTGCTGTCAGTCAGTTCACATAATGAAAAGAATTAACTTGAATTACTTGGAACTCTCAGTCATTTAAAATCAACATAAAATGACCATCAAATGTTTTTGTCTACAGCTATGAATTCATTCTATAATCATGTATAATGTACTGTAAAGATAAACATGGTAAGGGACTTTTTTAAAAGGCTTTTGCCAATAACCCTTGATCTACAGTACTTAGTTAATGTAAACATTTTGAAATTATGCAGAAAGATTAGCTGCAAATATACTTCCAACTTTCAAACTTGCATAACAGAAAGAAAGAAGAAAGAAATGCATGCATGCACAATGCTCCTCCTCCCCTGGGTTTCATTAGTAGCAATGGAATTCAGTGACCCAGAAACTAAGCCTAGCCCTAATCAATTTGCAGACGTTCACAAGCATACACTTGAACTGCTAATTACAAAGCCAAACTCCTCCCCACAGGGAGGGGTTTCCTCTTTGAAGATGAGCCAAACAGTGAAAAGCCAAAATATTTTGTAAATACAGTATTTTCATTGGTTTCAACATCATAAGGATGAACTTGTGCCAGAAGATGTTCATGACTTTGTTTCGGTTTCACGATTAGTAAAAATGGAAAGTCAAAGCCTCCTGTACTTAATATCATATACTTCATTTTTCTCATTGCATGATAACTTCAGGTTTTATTATATGATAATTCAGACACTAACCATGTTCATCTTAAGAAAAATATATTTATTGTCATTTCACTGTATTTTTGTATTGAATATAACTTTGTAATATTTCTTTGGAACAGACGAAATCCTTGTGTTACACATTACTGAACATCTCACCAGACTGAATGCAGGCTGAAGAAGTTAAAATGAAAGATACAACATAAAGCTTTGTGTTTAATTAACTCTGCGGTCTCATGAGGAGGCGATGATGCAGATTTTCACATCAGAGTTAATGATGGCTCTACTCTAATGCACCTTCAAGTGTCCGAGGCTTGGCAGCAGAACAATAGGCCAGGATGCATTTACACTGATTCTCTCATTTACATCTATCCTTCTGCTGCAACATGTATGGCTGTATCATATTTTATTATATGCTTAATGGAGGTAGTTATACTTGTCATATTGCAGTGTTTTATCAATGCACTTGACAATACTTAAATAAAATAAAAAATAAATTTTTACTTACTTGTATCAGTAAAAGACTTCAATAGCTAACAACTTCTGAGTCGCAGTGGCAAATCCCTCCACGACTATTTACTCCAAGATTCACGTTATTCTCTTCTGCTCACGAGAGAATAATTCGAGTTCTCACATAACACAACTGAAGCCTGACACAACATGATGTCTGCAGTGTGAGCCCCGGTAAGAAGTTATATGTGACGGTGGTAGTAAGGAGGGCTGTTAAACAAAGCAAAAA